TTCATAGGGCTTGGAGCTGTCGGCTCGCCTATGATTGAGTGCGCTGGGTGCTGTCGGCACGGCACTCGTGGTACAGGCAACTTTTATTCGGTACATATTTTCTTCAGTTCACCCGTTTTCGGGAGTGCTCGTATCTCTGAAGGGATTATCGGGCATGCTTTTTATTTTAGTTCAGTTTCGGGCCCTGCGCGCTCCCAAGAGGAGCCGATGCAGAAAGCATCGCCGGCTTCACACATAGGTCGCTCTCGAACGGTTGTGCATGCAAAGCAAAAAAGTAGTAGTAGTAGTAGTAGTAGTAGTAGCAGCAGAAGCAGCAGCAGCAGCAGCAGTAGCAGCAGCAGCAGCAGCAGCAGCAGCAGTAGCAGTGTAGTAGTAGTAACAGCAGTAGTTGTAGTCGTCGTCGTAGTAGTGGTAGTAGTGGTAGTGGTACGGTGGATGGAGGAAAGCTTGCACGGCCCAGATGCTTGCTGATGACATCGCCCGTCAGCAGGACCCCGCACCCTCTGTTTAATATTGAGGATAGTATGCCGTGTGGCTTGTGCAAAAATTGTGTCAGTGGAACCCACGGCACTTCCCGGGCTCTTGCGACTGTTTGGGATGCTGTGGTTGATGCAGCTGTTGCTGTTGCTGCTGTTGCTAGTCCTTGTGTTATGGTTCTGACTTCCTGCAAAGCCAGAAAAGACAATACATTGGAAAGCCCAGAAGCCGCACGGCAGATATCACCAAAAGAACTCCGAGGAAAAACGCGCCTAACTTGCTCCATCATCATCTGGAAGAAATCATGGAACCTTAGGCTTGTGTGGCCATGACCTTTCGTCAGTATTCCCACTCTCCAGCAACAGCAGCAGCGGCAAAAGGACCATAGACATGCATTATCGTGACCTCTTCTGCTTTCGTACTGCAAGACGCGAAATGCACAAACCATGCCACGAAGATCACGTCCACGAGTGGGGCTGGTCCAGGACGCTGTGCTAGCAAATCTAGCTTATGTCAGAACTTGCCAAAACACATGCCCGGACTGAGTCTCAGAATGGTGCCAGCAGCCCGTTCGGTGGTGATATTCTGGTGAAGAAAACACATGTTCATTGCCAGTATCTCCATCAGAGCACCGCGAAACCAAAAAGATCAGGCAAGGCAGCTCCATCAGCTCGAAGCTGCCGGAGCCATCCCGGTCCAGCTGTTCGATGACATTGCCAATCTGATGGATTCGAGGTTCCACGAACTCTGCTTCGCAGTAAGGTGTGAGTTGTGCACACTCTTCTGCTCTTGGACACGGGGGGTCTGCAGCATCCTGCATGACGAGTGAACACGGTAGTCAGCAAGGGGCTGGCTGTCGAATGACCTTGTAACGTCTTGAGGTATTTCACTGACTCAATCTTGCTGTTCCATCCCGAGTTGAAGAGAGGAGCTGGTCCATGTGCTACTGTACAATCTCTGGAAGCCTCAAGCTGTCATGTGTGTGGCCTCGTGCTGCTCAACCTTCGTCCGCGGCAGCATTCCAAATTCCTTCGCAGATCAAAGCCCTGGGCTTGTGTACTGAGTGTGAAGCCATGTCAAGCCGCATGTCAGGCCTCCAGGATGCCGTAGATCTCTTGGAAGCTTAATTCACCACCTCAATCAAACAAATGAAAGCCTGCCGTTTCGCTCGTTGGGAAGCAGGTCTGTGCATCTTCTGGTGTCTTGAGTCTCTTGCTGCCGTCCCGGTCGTAGTGCCGGAAGCTGGCAGTCAGGTCCTCCAATGCGAAGTTGAAACGGGACTTGCAAGCAGAGTGCAGCTTCTTGCATGGCGCTGCTTGGACTCCGCGATCTTCTCTGTATACTGGTAGCAGATCTTATCAAGGCCTCCTCTAGGCTGGCTCTGATCGCCACGCGAGCCTGGAGTCGAGGGCGCCACTTCACTCCATGAAGATCCCTGAAAGTCACTACAACTATCTACTTCTTCCTGCGACAGTAACAGCGTCTCAGCACGCTCGCGAGAAAACCTCCAGCCGCAGCCCGGAACTCCCTTTACACAGCCAAACCTCTGGACGAGAGCCAGGAGGTCTGCACGCCAAGAGAATCCTGTAGCTCTGCCTATGGAATGCACATTCAAGGGGTTGCCAGCCCTGCCCTGCCTTTTGCACGAGCTCCAGCACATCCTCGCCAACCAGAGCTGCAAAGCTGAGTGCCGACGGCTTAACCCTGGATAGAATCGTTAGCACATGTCATAGTCTGGCCCAGCGTCTGGAAATTTGGTATACTGCCCTGCGAACTCCTTGATGATGTCCAACAGCGGAAGGCACCTAAGTCTAGTCACACTCAGCCGTGACACAGGCACACACATGCTTGCAGCACACACGTTGAGCAAATTTCCGCCAACTACGTGGTCCACGCAACCAACGTTGGACAGCGTATGATACTCTAAGAACATCTGGGCGGCTGCATCTCCTCCGTGTTCGGTGGTGCTGTGCCGATGTCCACCATGAAGGGCAGCAAGTCCTCTTTACGCAGGCCTTCCATGTTCCCACGATCGCCTCTCCTAAATCAAACCGTTTTCGGACCTTGGTCAGGTTTGCCGAAGGAGTAGCGCTCGAAGACCTTCCAAAGAAAGGGAAGGCTGGAGCCTGGGCGAACAACTCTGGGCGGCCACAGCGATGTTCGCTCTCGCAATCTCTCGCTAGGGCGCTATAATGTGACAACATACCATTAACGCCTCAACAAAAATCTTGAGATATCTGGAGAACAATTTTGCCACTTGTTGCTTTGCGGCTTTGCACACATTGATTGCAGCGAGAGGAGCGGAATTCACTGACAATCTCCGGCTCCAGTTGGAACCTTGAATCTCGAAGAGACGATTTACCGAAACTGGCTTGAATCAACACAAAGTTGGTGTTGACATGTTGCTTCCCACTCTCCGTCCAGCAATGGCAGCCCCATAGAACGATGCTAAGCCCCTACCGGCTTCGCAACTTCTATCAACTTCGCCACTCAACACACGCTGCTGAGCATCAAGCTTTGCTGAAGACACGCTGACGCAAAAAACGGACCCGAGCACGTCAAGAAAGCCACTGCGCTCACTGAACAAGCTTTTCAGTTCATGGTGCTTCTTTGCGACGGAAACCTCCTCTCTTCGGCGAAGTGTCAGCAGCTTGGCCCTGACCTTTTCTTCGAAGCTGGTGCTTGAGTTCAATTCTGATGCTCATGAGACCTACACCTTCTGGACGAAGAGTTGGAATTCCTCCAGATTCAGAGCGCCTCACGCAGCAAGCAGCTCGGACTGGGGAGAACTGATAACAGACACTGACGATCGCGGGGAGTCCCTTTCCCGTGCCTTTCGCTTCCGAGTCGCATTGGGTCAAGACGTTCAGGGCCTGCACAAAGTTTCTGTGACCAACTTTGGCATCTAGTCGCAGTAGGCCAAAGGAGAAAAGGCCATGGTGTAGATGAACGCGCGAAAAGGTGGGGTTTAGGCTTTCAGAACTTACCAACGGACACGTGTCGGAAGACTGCACTGAACGATGGTGAGGAAGGAGGTGAAGTACCTCATGAAACGTCCGCTTCCGCGACAGCTACTTGCAGCAGACCTCGTACAAGGATACGCTTCTTGCCGGTGTGCAATTGATGGCCAGGGGGTAATTTAGCAAAGGTCTACCAGGAACGCGACATCTCTTTTCCCAAAACAGCCCAACCCAATTGTGCGGAGTGAGAGAGTGGGAGCGCAAAACAAGGAGAAAGAACGAGTTGACTTGTGAGTGTGTGCACGTGCGCGTTTTGAGCCATCCGGACTGCCCAGCGACCTCACTGCTCTCCTCGGCCGAACGCAAGAAGAGGCCCAGCTTAGTCTCCTGCAGGGGCCGGAGTGGAGGGCTGTCCCTTGAAGGGCTTAAACGCTTCTCCGAAACCGAAGGAGGAAGAGGGTTTCATTGAACAGAGAAGTGGTGCGACCGCGGAGGCGATCCTCATGTCAACGGCAGGTCAGGTCCGTCAGCAGTCTTTCCCCCAAGTCTTCAGTTAATCGCACGCCGGGGCGGCGGCCTTGTTTGTGAAATCCTCACCCTGGGCGACTTAAGGGGATGTGCCTGAATTCGCAAGGCCGTCCAGGCCGACAGCATCCGACAGCCCCGAAATCCGTGCTTGTGTGGGCAGCAAAAGCACTGTCCAGGAGCGTCATGACGTCGGCGATCTCCAAGCTGTCGTTCCCTTTCACGTCTGCCTGGGCGAAGTTTATGAAGTCTCAGGAGCACCTTCAAGGTAGACGCTTGTGTGTCGTGTCTGTGGCAGCACAAATCTTGGCTCTTCAGGGGTACTGCCATGAAACCATGTCGCCAGTCTGCGATACTCAAGTCCTCGTTACTCCCTGAGATTTTGAACCGAACCCGGCTCAGGACACTGCCATCTCTGCAATCAGCAACACAATGCACTGGATCTGAGTCCGCAACTTCATGGAAGAGCCTCCAGCTTTTTTCGTTCTGAACCTGCCCAGACATGTGCAGATCGAGACTGAAACGCCTGCAGCGCTTGAAAGTCCAATGCTGCAAAATCATAGCATGTGGCAAGGCCAGGGATGCTTCGGGGAAATCTATGGGATCGCCGGACCCGCTTGCAAGCGAGGTTTTGCGAGAAAACGAGTCTTAGCATGCGTCCACAAAACTCAGCTGCACAAAAGAAGTTTTTTGAATGTTTAACACCCACATCGGTCCAAGCACGCGTCCTAGCCTGACGGACACGCTCTCGCACTTCCTTCAACAGCTCCAGAAAAGGCTCGAAAGTGAACTCCTGAACACGCTTCGGCATTCTGCTCCATGTGGCGGCAACAAGGTATGTTTCAGCGAGGATGCAGTCTCTGATTTGTTTGCGTTAACGACCAACAACAACCATCTGCAGCACAGCTCTGGCTACACTTGTGTCGACACACACACACATAGCACTCTCTCCTCGCAGCCTATTTTCTGGGTCATCTCATTGATGCACTCAGTGACCTGTGCTTGGCTCTTTTGGCAAGTATCTTTGCAGGATTCCGACCCGTCGCTTTCAGCTCAAAGCGAAATATGGCGGCCTCGAACTTTTCCTCCCTGTTTTGCGGGGTCAGGCCAATGTCGGCAAGGATGTTTCGGACCTCCTGCGCTGGAACCAAAAATGCAGAAGCTATACTTCCGACCTCAGGATGACTCCTTACGAGGCGCGCAGTCCGCGTATCGATCGCAAAGATGCTCGACTTTGATTCGTATAGCAATCAGCATCCACCGAATGAGCGACACCTAGTGTGTCCGCCGTAGTCCTCCAAATCCAGAGTTCCACTGCCATCGAAATCATAGTGGCGGAACTGGATATCCAAGTTGTTGACCTGTTGGTTTAGGCATTCTTTCCCTAACATTTAATGATGCCACTTCCTCATCCCTCCCCGGTGGGAACAGATCGACACGTGGGGCTCCAAGACGCACTAGCTTCCGCAGAACTCTTTGGCAGCCGGTTTTTGCTACATGTTCTGTTGAACATACCTGTGAACGCAGTTGGACTGAGGCGCAGTTGGCTGATGTCCTGGGGAATCCTCCCTTGAAGTAGAAGTTGGTGTATGATAACCAAGACCATCCAAGCAAGGACTCCGTGCAGCCGACAAGAATTCAAGACGTGCTTTCAAGGCCACCCATCACAACAAGGCATTCGTCGACCCGTTCACAGCCGCCAATCCAATGCAAGAAGCCCCATGGCTCCACTTGCAAGGAATCCCCTTCCTCGCATCCAAGACTCTTCTGCGCAGCTCCCAAACTCACTCAGAACTGTCTTCTCCACTGAATCGTCCAGCAGGGTTGGGTGTACCAAATGGCCCAGAACTCAGGATGAGGTTTATTCCGATGTATTCCGGCATTCGAGGCTGCATCCGGAGTAATTACAATGATGTTCATCGTTGTTGATTTTTTGATAACACATGGGGGCCACCACGCACTGCAAGCCATGCGCAAGACCTTCGGCGGAGACATCGCTTTCCACAAACCGTTCCGCGCACAGTCTCATGTCCATATATATGCCCATGCCGGAATCTCGGTGTGAATGATTTCTACCCTTACTAATCATTATAATACATGTTCCGCCCAAACATCTTGACAGGCATGATGAGGAAGAAACGTGCATTGTCGGATCAATTTTGCAAGCTAAAGCTTGCACCAGCGAGATGTCTGGGACATGACCGCGTGTGCGACAAACTACAGTGGAAGTATGTGGAAGTGAAAAGGGTTTGGATAGCAGCTGAAGGCGTCGTTCCTGGCGTCGTCGTCTCCACTGTCGCTGCCAAATGCGCAGAGTGTATTGTGCTCATGCAAAGGGTTCAAACTTGTCTACATTTCCGGCGGCGGTCGATGTCTAGTCCAGGGCCAATGACAGGCAGAACAAGCGCTTAACTAACGGCATGTTAGCCAAAATTTCTGCTAAAGGTGCAATGGCCCCTTTTAAATTCAGTGCCGGTGCCAGGGTGGGCACTTCTGCGCCCGTCCCGAGCACCGCCCGAGGGGGCGAGTGCCGGCCGAGAGTCAGACGAAGTCTCCGATTAAAAGACCTCAGGGAGGCGAGGGTGGGATTCGAAATTTAGGCGGTCGAACCGGGATGCTGCCGGCCGGCCGCATGCGCTTGTTCCTTCGTGCATTCCAATGCATACACTACACAACCAGCGCTTAGCTAACGGCATGTTAGCCAAAACCTTTACTAAAGGTGCAGTGGCCCCTTTTTGGTCGTTGCGCAGACAGCGCCCAGCCGGGCACAATGCCCGAAAACTCGATGCCGGTGCAGGGCGCGCAGCCACGTCCACCAGGCGCCGGCACCTAGACTACATGGCAAGATCTCTCAGGGACCCCACAGGGTGAGGCATCAAAAAAAAACTAAACAGACATCAAAAGAAATAGACCGGAGAATCAAAAAAAACCTAAAA